GACGCAATATTCTAGGTGGGGTCGCACAAATGCTGAACACAGTTGCACAAACACCAGTATCCCCGCTGCTAACGATTTGTGTACTTCGCTTCACTTTGGGCGAAAGCACAGCAATTCTTTTTATTAAGGCTTTCTTTCTTTCTGTTGCGATTCACATAGTCGTGGTGGAACCACTATTCCGCCAAGAATTGACATGAGTTTTCGTGCAGCTGTGTTGCGTGGGAAGCGGTACTACCATTTTACGGAAGTCACTTGAATAGTAAAGCGCTAAGAAAATGAAATACGTACCTGTAATTAAAGACTGCAAAAGTTTATGAAAAGATCCATATAGGGTAAATATTATACCATAAAGCACCTTACCTGGATAGCTATGGAATCTAGCCATATTACATATGTTTGCCTTGAAAAGATGCCAGCGTCGGTTGAACGGTATTTGGAGTTCATACCCTAATTTCTATCGCCTTGATGATTTACCATTGGGGCACATAATCGCTCCTATGCCATGCAAAATTCGGTGGCTATAAAGATTATCCGCAAAGTCGTTTGCTCTTGCATGCGACACGAGCTGCTTGCTGTTGGTCACGTGGGCATCCGGCGCGTCCTCGCCCGTGACGCTGCTTTCTTTCTGTTCTTTTCGGTCCTACAAACGTTTTCTGATGATAATAGCTTCACCATTTGGTAGACCTGAATTAGCTTCAACATTATCATCCATGACGACGAACGCTTCCGCTTAATACTGAGAAAAGAGAGCGAGAAAGTAATCTTTGCTGCTCCATCCTAGGTGGTTAGGTCACATGCGCGGAATCACGTCGCTGATTCCTGAACGGTGGTAGCATATTGCAGCCGCATAACATTTTATCCTGGGGCCATACGCTCCCCATACCCGTAGTCCACAAAGTAGGCGTTAAGGAAGCTCGAAGAGACACTCCGGCACTTTGCTGCAATATTTCACCACTTGACGCTCGAAGCAAGCGGGAGAGCGGTGTGCTTTAAATTGGGTACAAAGAGTTTGTACTAGTGTCCGCCTGTGCTGCCTGGTGCGCGAATCTATAACAGCGGCTGCAAAATAGCGTATTGGCCGAGGTGCATTATCCGGTGCATCCTAATGAAATCAGCCCGAAGCCGAGGATATGCTAAGGAGTAAAGCCCTAGTCTTTTACATCGGTCCTCGTAGGCACACCCCGTAAGCTGGGGATGAACCGGGTAGCTACGTGCCGGGCCTGTTCCAGTCACTGCACCTCACCTATTGTGATCGGGCCATAGGCGGGTGAGCTGTACTGAAGCATCGGTCGTATTATCGTAGTGATCAGACAGGTTGTAACCTCTTCAGACCTAGCACAGAAACTGGGTCTAAGTGCCCAAAGCAGGAGTACTCCGTTTGAGTGCAGCCTGTTCGTGTTATCGACGGGTTTCCGATCACGGAGGGAGTGTTCGCCTAGATACTTTATGTAACTGCTTGGATGCAGCTGGTGGCTGGTCCTAGGGCATACACGCAGATTACTACCACTCCGCAGCCTCATAAAGGAGGGCATGACCGTGTCGACCGGTAGGTCAGCTGCAAACCGCCGGGAGAGGCGGTCGAAGGCCTGCCGAAGGACCTCACCTTCACCGGCCGAATCAATAATCATTCAACTCTTTAGGTCATCCGCAAATAATACGCAGGGTGACCGAAGAAGCTAAGGTATGTTGTTAACGTGGATGCGGATTAATATTGGGTCCCGGTACGTTGCCTTGGTGCTCGCCGCTATCGGACGAGTACCTTTTTGTTAGTCGATCAAGCCCCTGAACTCGCCAGCCAATCCCAGTAAGGATGTCACTGCTCCACTGGTGTAATGCATAGTCAAAACCACACATCCCAAGCTTGTGAAGCACGGCATCACGGTCCATGTTATTGAAAGCCCTACTGAAACCAATATAACTAACGTCCACTGGCTTCATCCTATTCAAAGCTTGCCACCAATCCTGCCGCATCAGCAGCAAGTTGGTGACGCGACAGCGGCAATTCATGAAGCCGTGCTGGGCCGGAGTTAGAGCTTTCAACTCCAGCAGCCGAAAAGCATTTTTTACCATCCCCGTGCACTACTTCCAAACCAGTGGCGAGACAAATCGGCCGGTACCTTTCCACGTTGCAAGATTAACCACTTTTTGGCGTCGGCTTCATTACTGGGCATTTCCAGTTGCTTTGCAGTGCATCCTCAGACAGCGATCTGTTGAACAGTTCCGTAACGGCAGGCCAGAAGGTGGCCGATAAGGGGTAAAAAAGTAGCGTGCGAAGCACATCAGGTCCGGCAGCTATTGTGCCATCAAGACTGGCTAGTAGACTGCGGAATTCTACACTGCAATCCGTACCATTGGGTTACTTAGGGACCCTAAACGTCGAGCTCGGGATAGTGCATGCCCACTTGTATATACGGAAGCGAAGTACTCCACCGATGCAGACGCACGTTTAGTGCCGTAGATCAAAGGCCTTCCGTCTCTGCAATCTAATACCTTTGGGACACTTGCGGGCCTCGAGCGCCGGTTGAATTAAGCAAAAGGCTGCCTGTGGGCCATCTTTGTTGAGGCTGCGAGCTCCTCTTCAAAATTGTGGCGCTTTCGCGCTTTCGCATATGTTCCGCAACTGTTTGTAGGCTTCATAATCGTCAGCAGAGCCAGGGATGAGGAAGTTAGTCCATAATTTACGCTGACGTTGAGTCTTTTACTATACTCCCTACCCAAAAGATAGGGCTACACTGGTCCAGCTTCTCACATATGTGATAGCCGGATGTCTGGTTTACATGACAGATGTATGATCGGGCAGGAGTATACGCTACCGCACACTTCAAGGTAAGTTTCACCAAAGGTCCTTCTAGAGGTAGTTGGACTCCTGGGGGCATGCCATCTCGCAGCTCAGTAAATGTTGGTCGTAGGAACTCAGGTACATCTTCAGGTTTTGACAAGCCGAAATGAAACCCGACATTTAAAGCCGATGAAGGTGGCTCCTTAAGCCCAGCCAAGACATGCCACATGGTGGCGGCTTGCAAAGGAAGTCGTTGCTCTGGGGCCAGCCCTGTCATCTGCAGATGCAAAGCATGCCAGACAGTGGAGGATGAGCCGCGCTATATCGCAGATAGATAGCAGTCATGGCGGTCCGCTGCCGTCGCCCAAGGCCCAGCGGCATAGGTTGCTGACTAGCAAGAGTAAGGTTGTGGGTTCGAATCCGCCAGGATTCGGCGGGTGCGCGCTACTGCCGAGTCCCAACAGGACGAAACGGCCGTCTAGCGCTTTCCTGGATGTGTGATGGCTGTCTGTCTGCGTTTAACTGCGACGAATCCACCTGAAAACATGCCACAGGTGTTTACTCAAAAAGCGAAACAAGGTGAGGTCAGCTATGTACAGTTGCAACTGTAACTTCGACGGGCCAGTGTCGTCACTGGTTTGCCACTTGCAACGTATTCTGCTTATCTATCCAACCTGCACGTAATCGTAACCCTTTTCAATGCTAACCGGAGATCCACGTGGTATACTGAGCAACATGTGCGAATCGCGCGGGAATTAAGGGTGCGACACACGAAGGCGCCGGAGCAGCAGATTTATATTTTTAGCTGGTAACTATCTATCATTTGCAGTACCAAGACAGCGTACAGGAATAGTTGGCAACTGCGGAGTTGTATCACAGGTAAGTTAGCAGGCATGTCTTTAAGCATGTTATGCTTTGGGAAAGTTCGCCTACCAATAATCGGCTCCAAAAAAAGCGTCTGCAACTCACGTTAACCAGAAAAATCAATATCCACGGAATAGGTTAAAGGCTACTTGAAAGTATCAGTAACTTGTTCAAGGCATATGGCAACCGACAGGCACACAACTGGTCGGGACATGATCAGTGTAGCATCTGAAAGGCTTTAATCCAAGCAACCTATTGCAAACCGAATGCAGCATCGTTCTGTATTATGCTACGGTAAGCATGTTTAATAATTCGATAAATATTAGACCGTGAGCCACCAGCATTAAGTCTTCGAGGTTTGCGAGGCATAACTAAAACTTTAACGAAATGGCAATGGCGAGAAAAGGTTCGAGGTGTGGTTTTCTGGTACACTTAAACAAACCTTCAGTGGGGGCTAAAGAAACGTGTAACCTTGATTAAATACCATTTATTGTTACCAACGCTAAAGCAAAGCTGACCGTACAGCTTTCTTTACTTTTATTCATTATTTTTAGAGTGACCAAAAATACGCCCAAATGTGACGCTCGACCGTCCACCTGTGCAGACTGGGTTGATATGGCGAACTTATTTTAATAGACAGTGTTTTGCACCCGTACCTCCATTCATGCGTATATACAGTATATGGCAGGTCATTTCTATTCGTTTTTCTATTGGCACTGTTAATTGGCAATATGCATTGCGACAGGCCGACACATCCTTCCTAAAACCTGCACTTGCCATCCATTAAGTACGTGTTACTCTATGTCAATGAACCGCACTGCGCTTTCATCTCATTACAAGCATCCTTTTCAATTTTCGGACCCTAAGCACCTCGTTAGCAGTACATATGTATTCTACGAGAACGAAAATTTCTCCATTTAATTCAAAGTATGAAGAAAAAATATTTTTGGCATTTCACGCCGCCGAATGCAAACATTAAGTTTTACTTGCACCATAGTTTCTAACATCCCATGTTCTGTTGTGCCTCGCGGCACCACGTGTAGTTTGAATTCGCGCGTGTCATTAACCGGTCTTCCCCGTCGCTTCATTATTCAAAAGCAAAAGTTGCGCTTAATTTCAAGGTCGTCCTACAAAGCATTCAAAGCTAAGCCTGTGGTTCTCCAAAATGCATTTGAACTTAACGTATAATCATATGAAAATATGGGCAACTTTCTGTCTTTGCTCATACTATAGTGTTTTGGCACTTTACTCGGTTACATTGCTGGTGTCGTGCTAAGAAGAAACACAAATGAAGCAGCACAATAGCTACTAGCCAGCTGTGCATTAGCAGTACTAGTTGTTGAATGCTATTGCAAGCATGGATTCTGTGGCTAATCCAGGATGTCAAACTGAACAAGCAGCAAGCTTAGCATGTGTAGTTGATGCAGAGATGTCAACGCTCTACCATCAGTAAGTTTATTCATTAACGCTGATTATAATTAAACTCTAAGTCATTGTGCAGTTGGCCAAATAGTCAAATATTCGGCACACTGCAAAGTGCATCTTTCTTATATTGAAGTCATTCAATGCGCTGAGGAGTTGCAGCAATCTTCCGCTTCAGGTTTTCAGATCTAGCATGCTCCTTACCTGTTAGAAGGGAATCTGCCCTTTTCCCATGTTGGGTTGATATTTGCGATTTAGTCCTGCGGTACACAGCCTTTTGGCTATATACCTCTGCGCAATCTTTATTACGCTGCCTTCCCTCCATTTTCTTTACTTGTCATCCAATGCAAATCCGCAGGCACCAAGGGTGCATTTTGCAGCAATTGTACATACCGTAACTTGCCTGTAAAAGTACCTGGACCATCTCCATGATGGGAATTGTCGTAACATAATACAAAATAGCTTCGCCTGTAACAAATGTCTCGGAGGTACTTTATGTTCACTGGTGTTTATCGGGACAAACCATGTTTTAACGGCTAGTTTAACTTCATTATCCCAGTCACGGAGATCCCGATTTGCTGTTTGTCTGCATATAACAAGCTCCTAATCCTCCAGGTTGCGCGTACCTAGTGCAACCTATCGTGACTTTCAGAATCATGATGTGATTAGCTAACCTTTCTGTGCCATAAACTAAAAGTCTACGGACCTGATTCTTTGTGTAGCCGCGAGCAGCTGACTTGAAATGCATGATATAACTAGGCTTGAAAACGTATCCACGACCTTTTGGGTTAGTGCTACCGCAGCTTTAATGTTTGAAATCTCACAGATCGCAAACACTATGCCTGTCGAGGCTCTAATATCGACGCATTATGGCGCGGTTGGGCAAAAGTAGGAACTTTCGCCAGCAGAGGACCGTTATCCTATGCATATTTAGCACAAATATCCATCGATCAAGGCAAACAGATTAGCTTACTAAGCAATTAGTGACTGTGTAGCAGAGGAACCACAGAGAAACACTTCAAAACACACCAATTAATTAATAATACTTGCCGACCACGCCAATCACGCAAGAAAAACGACCACGAATGTTCGAACAAGTAAAAATTTGCTCAGAATTTCCAGTAACTTGGGATCTACGTATACACTTGTGCGCTAGTAGCACAGTTCCATTTTCCAGTTATTCAGAAAAAAGTAATACAGGAATTCAGAATGAAAACAAGAATCATCCACATCCTTTGAAATTGGCGAAACAGCTTTCTTTACAAATGTTTGCACTCTACCCAAAACAAGCGCATCTTAACCCGATGAAACGGGGATCGAAAACCTACAAAAGTTAAGCAGATACGCGGAAGTTCATAAGAGATTACTTCGAGCAAACGAGAGCTAACGTTACGTCTGAAGGATTATTGAATAGAGAATGGTTGCTTTGTAATCGAACACTTTTGTAGGGAAACCTAAGCAGTAGGTTAATATAACCAAATATCAGCATGCTGTAAAACCTTTTCTCTGATAAATCACTAAAACTGTAGGTTATAGAATTATATGGTGTGTTTTATAGTTTTATGACATGTAGTATATATTGCACGTTTACCACTAAGCCCATTGGTTTAAAGCAGAATCGTAGGGACTTTCAGTCTCCTTCCGGATTATTATTATTTCGGCTACGTTTTTGTGAGCAGCATGGGTGTATATGTCCATGTTGTGCATGTGTATTTTTTTGTGTTTGCTGTTTGGTATCCATAATATGGTTCCGTTTGCTGTGAAATCTGACAAGGTGTTTATCTGCAGACAAACTGCAATCTTGGTCATTCTGACTCTGGGTGACAGCTGGTCGTTGCATACGGAGACGGGGTGTAAGTTTATCAAGACCGTGGTAGGTTCAAAGAGTTGTTCCATCCTGTGCGAAATAGTCTGCGTTCTAGCTACCGTCTTATGTACGTCCGGAATGCATGCTTTCCCAGTCAGACAGACAGAATTGCTACCAACCGTGCATGCATCTGTATGGCTAGGTTGCTTCGATTTGTAGGTATTCCGCTGCTTTTGTGGCTGTTTGTTCGGGTCATTAGTGTGAGGGAGAACCATAGGAAAGTTCCGGAATAGACGTCTAACGTCGGTGGAAGGGACATGATCCTCCGGACAAACAAGAATGAGTAACTTTAGCTAGTAGCGGGTCACTTCCAACACAACAAGATGTTGTTGAACAGACATGCGGGGCTCTTTGTAAGGAAGACTCTTGCCATGTGAAGACCTGTTACGTCCGGGGAAAACTAGCGCATAAACATCTGTGTTACCAGAATATACTCAAAGCGAAAAAATGGCACAACATGCAAGTTGTTCGCCTGGTCATTCTGCATGATGGCATGTCGATGGACAGCCATCCCAATTAAGCGTGTTTTCGAACCTTCGCGGAGAGCAGAGAGCAATAGGAGCAAATGGCACAATATGTCGAAATAATACATTATATATTAGAATGTATTATTGCTTATCTATAAGACGCTACGTTTTGAAAAAACCGTACTTCAGCATGCACGAGTGACCGATAGACTGCCGCTGGGTTATGGTCCACCTTGGACGCATTTGGAACGAATTGCGATCCCTATTCATACTTTCGGTGCAGCCTTACGTCCACCGTATTGCGTTATTCTGAATTGAATATCGATTTACACTAAGGATGGACGGTATTTGTGACCGTGCAAGTGCATTCATAGTAAGTATTAGGGTGATTCTCGAAAAAGTTTTATTAATGACCCAAAATCTTTTGAAATGTGTCTCAGTGGAACAGACAGCAACACAGAATTTGTCACTTATAGCTCCACATAGGTCACCACAGTAAGCAATGATCGGTATTGTGATATGGATCAACGAGCAACGAAACCAATGTTTGACAAGTCTCATATAATATCTATGGTAAAAAGGTACCATTTGTAAACATAGCGTCGATAAAGGAACGCTCAGTTGCATGGCTCACCAAGGGGTTTATGATAGTCCAGATATGAGTGTCTTTGTCTAGAGTTTGAGGAGAGTGCATTAGGGTCCACGGGTTGTTCTATGTAAATATCGTCATTTAATGTTCACAAGTGATATCGCGTAACGTAAGTAGAGCAAGTAGCTTTTTGCATAATGTTGTAGTTGTTGCATCAATTACTTGCGGGTTCTCTTATCGCAAAACTCTTTCTATGGCACAAAAACCCGAAGGTTTGGCTCGTAGGTTTGAAGTGCTATTCAGATTCAAGTAGCAAGCGTTGGCATGTAAGTGGCTTGCCGAGTGCGAGAAGACCGGAACAGTAAGACCAACTGAACCGAAGTCTATTGAAAGGAGTTACAAAGGAATGGGAGCAAGAAAGGAAGAGCAGGCGGCAGACACTGCAACTCAAGACAGGTCAAGTTAGTTCCATACGGACGGGGGAATATTCATCCGTCACCTACTCACTTTCAGTGATAAAGCATGACATACAAAAAAGAGTGGGTCAATACCTAAAAATGAATAATACCATCCTAGCGTAACCCGGTCTGTTAATTCTTAGACAGCTTTGTTTCGGTTAAGCAAACTCACACTAGGTAGGGAATAGTTGATCAACGGTACGCTAGTGTAAAGGCATATATGGGTTTGTATTTCTGGCTAGTTGATGGGGTTGCTACACCTTCATACAATACGCAATGGAAGGGTGACTTTTGTCCGCACATACTGGTAATGCTAGTCTCTTATGAGAATCGAAATGAGTGAATACGTGTATATCAACATACATCAGCTTCGATACACCGATGCTTCACGACAAGTGTTTTAACAACCTAAAGATTTATCTAACTTCCTTGCTCAATAGACCAGAGAAAATTACTGGCGTGCAGTGCGTCCAATGTGGAGGACCACAAGTAGGGACAAAGCGAAGTAACAAATCATGGGATACAGAAATACCTCGCAGATATGAGGCGTGGAACATTAACCCAGGGACTTTCGTGAAGTTTTCTTTTAAGTGGCGTGACCAACACAAATCTTGGCTTAGCGTAATGCCCAAATACATTACAGCTGGGAAGGAGGCAATCGTTCGCCATTGGTGTGGAGTTCCGGGCATCGTTGGAGAAATTGTTGAAATTGATCCCCCTGGGTGGTGCCAAAATGACAGCATTGCATTTTGACACCTTTAGCGGCAACTCGCGTCCTTTGACCACATGGTAAGGTCGATAAACATATCTTGCAATCTGACTAAATAGGTAATCGTCCTTTGATTGTCAACCAGGGTAATGTCATCTGCGTGTTTCCGCAGGGCTTCAGCTTGATGCTAGGTAGTTAGAAAAGAGAAATGCTGACAGAATAGCTCTAAGGAGAACCACGGCGTTTGTGATTAGAGGCGAGGAACTTCTGCCCTTAAATCAGATATCCTGGGTACGACTGGTGAAATAAGTTCTCAAAAGATGGACCATGAAAGGATGTATTCCAGCATCGAGTAGGTCTTTCAACAGTAATTCGCGGTTTATGCAGCCAAATGCTTTGGTTAGTCCAAGAAACAGACTAGGGTGAACTTGATTCTATTGTCCAAGTGTAACAGAACCGAGTGCACAAGGTAGGTTACTGCGTCTTGCGCTGACCTCGAATCGCGGTAGGCAAATTGATGAGAGTCGGTGGATTTCTGTTGGGGCAGCATTCTCTTACTGAGGCTTTTTCTGAACACCTTTAAGGCTATCGATGTGCATGCAATCGGTCGATGTGCCCTTGAGCCCTTTCTGGTGTTGGCGTGATAATGACGCCTCCCCAGCAATCGGCAATTTTATGTCGTTGAATGCATTAGGTGTGACCGGAATATCAGCATGTTATTTGAGGACAACGAGAGGCAAACAGTTTGGACCACTTGTTTTCGCTGCGTGAAGCTGTTTCAGCAACTTGTGTACAGTGCCGCTGTGGACAGCGGCCATTGCGTGTACAGGCAATTTAGGCTGGGCAAAGGAACCTTTGGAGATCGGATTGTTATGGCAGTCGTAGAAGTCCTAGTTCAGTTTCTCCATATCTACATCAGAGATGTATATAGTAGTTT